TAAATGAAAGATTTGATGCAATGAAAAATCACTGTGATAATTTTAGTTTTCTGGGTAAGTTATCAGAAATCGATGATGCAAATTTGAAAATAAAATACAGTAAATTAGAAAAGCTGTTACAGTGGGATGACAATAAAGATATTAACACAGAACACCTTTATGACAAAACAGTAGCTTTGAAAGACATTTTTACAGCCAGTATGAATAACCCATTGGATACTAATTGTGTCAAACAATTTATGCTTCCCGAACTTGAAGATAATATTGAGAATACTACTTAGTATTTCTGTTAGTGTTTCTAGTAGAGAAACATCATTCTCTAAATTAAAATTGATCAAGACTTATTTACGGTTAAATATATCGCATGAAAGGCTCATAAATCTAACGTTGATTGCCATTAGAAATGAAATTTGTCAAGAGCAAAAGAAAAATAATGCAAAAGAAATTATAGAAAAATTTGTAAGTATGAAATGCAGAAAAAAAAATTATTCTCAATAAACTATTAAAAAAATCAACAAATGTCTTCTTCAAAACTTCCTTTTCCTTTAAAAATTTAAAAAGGGAGGGGGCTTGACTTCAGCTATTTTGCAGGCGGATGCAGATAACCTTGTGCCGCAGCTGAGTATGTATTTCAAGAATTAAATGTTAAGACAGCTTATAAGTTAAAAATACATTAATTTCATAGTAGTAAACTTTTTTGAAAGATAAAAAATAAAAATTATGCCTCATTAAATTTTCTGTCTAACTTTTTAAATTAGAGTAGACTCACAATTGACCATCCTGCATAGACAGGAAAGAAGCAACTGGAAGCTTGTTCAATGACTAAAACATGCTTCTTCCTTTCTACTTTTTTCCCAACATAGATGATAATAATAATAATAATAATAATATATATACCATACCTGCTTCAAGTATGAAGTATCTTAAAATAAAATATAAGAATGAAATATCTCAAAATTGGACAGCTTCTTATCATAATATGAAATACATAAGTTCAGCATTGCTGAGAAAGCACAAAGATAGCTTTGTAGTACAGTACAAAGTCTTTAATACGGACTCGTTGGGACTTCGGCGATTCCGGATTAGAGGTTTTTCCAGATTATAGATAATCAATTTAAATCTGGTAAGATGGCATGCAGAAATTATAAAATTAAAAATATGAAACCATAATTTATGAAATAAAGAGCAATTATGATCTAAAGGGTATCAAAATTTACAAAAAAATAGCTTAATATTTATTTGTTTACTTTACTAAACATTTCTTTCAACGTACGCATGCATAAAGCATACACTACGAAATTAGAAAATTGCAGCCAGAAAACTATTGATGTGTATTCGTGATATTTATAATGAGGAGGAATTTGATTTAAATCATATGAAACTGGGAGTACATTGAGATGAAATACTACATTTAGTAAGGAATTATAAGCCAAATAAAATAAAAACATCTGCCCTGAAGATGAGGATAGTGCTGACAGATCCACCTCCAGTTCATTGCGTGCCGTTCCCACCCACCGAGCAGCGTGAAATTGATAAACAGATTTCGGAATGGTTAGAGAAACAAAGGATATGCCTTTATCCATTTTTTGCAGAAATTCCACTTTTTGTTTGATGGACATCAAAAACATGCTTTTGCTTTGTAGATTCTTTGGCAGCTCCAGAATCGGAATCTCATTTTGACATAATCGAAAGTTCAAGCTTACTTTTTATAAAATTGCCAAGATTAAGGAACAACGCAGTCTGCAACATTAACTGAAATAGATAATTAAATAATTTAGCCTAGCTTATACCGTCTGTTATACATTAAACGTGCATTTGTAAACGTATTATGCACATGCGTAAAGGTATTATGTGCATGCGTAAATGCTACGCATGCGCAGAAAGTTTGTAGCTTTGAGGTCCGGATTATAGATCATTCTAGATTTTGGATGTCCGGATTAAAGACTTTGTATTGTATAAAATACTGTCTGAAGATCCAGAAAAATCTATAAAATAGAAATGAACTTGAACAGTCAGTTGATGGAAAGAAGAGATTAAAATAGCCAGAGGGAGGCTTCATTAAATGCAAGTATCTAACAGACTCTTGCAAGACTTGCAAAGTAGCTCCCTGCTTAACTGCTTCTTTTAAACAGCATTTTAACATTTTTAACTGAGTAAATGAGAATAGAGAACTCAAGGAAAATGTTTTCTTTGCAAGTTTACCTGTGCTTTCATTTCTAAGAAAATCACAATGGCAAAGGAATCCACTAAAGAACTAACATAGCAGAAATTACCAATGCTAATTATGTGAAGTATTTCATGAAGTTACTTAATAGTTTAATAGCTTTTCATTTAAACAAAAACATACATGTTACCTTTTTTGTTAATTTTTTTTAATTCTGCCTTGTATGAAATATAAGCTCATACATTTTAAGTCAAGACAATTCCCCACCCCCACCCCTGGAAGAAACTACACATAAAAAATAAATAAATAATAAAATAAAATAAAAAAATCTCACTTTGATTTTATTACAAATTTTAATTAATTCAAATATGAAAATAAGATCAGATTAGTGAAAGCAAACTGTTTGTCGATTTAATAATCAAGTGCATGAACAAAATGCAAAATTAAAAAATCTAGTTTCTACCAGGAATTTTTCTGATTCCTGTGCTTAACTTTTCACTAATCAAAAGTTCTTTCTTTAAAGTAGAAAAAACGTGAGCTCATGAGAAAAATTAGCATGCAGATTTAAACTGGATTTCGGAACTCTTCTGAAAGTGGACGACCGTGGCCATGTGCCCTTATGTAAATCAGGCCTTGGGATTAGATAAACAAATTGCAATTAAAAAAAAATCAAAGCAATTCTTGTATGTTATAAACCAGATTTTAAAAATATGTAGATATGTTGTATATAAATATAGCTAACACTCAAACCTCTTCTCTAAGAAGCTGGTCCCTGTAAGTTACCATTACAGTTAACTCCAAATTATATGGGGGTTAATTAACCAGGTCTGAAATAGGGCCCTGTGTAACTAAGAGTGTGAAACAAAACTATTTGCAGAAAGTGCACAAAGGGAAATATATATATGCAGAGAAAAGAAATTAATATTAAGAAAGAAATAATTGTTTGAAAATATGCAGCAGAGATTAGCAGATGATGTCATAACATTTGACAGTTGTTTATAGAGTGAATTTAACTGTATGTAAGCCAGAATATATAAGTACTGTAAAATGAAGAAACCTCTAATTGAGATTTATTAATGCGATTTTGAATTTTGAACTTAATGGCATTATTCAGTTTCTCTTGTGAATAGTATTGCTTCTATTTTATAGCTGTCTTCATTTCTAAATAAGTTTATTCTTACCTTATTTACAGTGCATTCTTTCTGTTTTGACTACTGATTTAATTTACATAATTAAAGGAATTTATTCTAAGGATTAAATATGGCAGGAAAATACAGAAAAATTATTAGCAGTATTTTTCGGTTAATTATAAAATGGGTTATTTTCCATTCTTGTGTTATCAGCTGCCCTCAGATTAAATAAAATTTTAAGTTGACTGTAGACACTATTTCAAATATTCCTCTGGAAAACTGAGAGTTAACTGTATTTCTCAGAATATATATAACACTGAACATAACCATCTTCAGAGAAGATCATGTGGAACTGAATCTGGATGGTTGTTCCAGAAACAATATTTTTGAAATGCTTAAAAAGCTCGTCATCCCCCACCAAAATTTTAGTTCTGGTTTAGCAAAACCATACCAAATGTAACAACTTCTTTCCGAAATGCAAACTCAAAAGCTCTAAAGCTTACAACAAGCAGTGCTCTTATTTAATCTTACATTATTTTCTAGATCAAATAATATGCAGCTTTTGAGCACATTGTACTTTTCTCTTTCTTAATATTGGCCATTTAAAGCACTCGAATGAGAAAAATCAGGTTTTCTATATTTATTACCCATTTTACACTGTAAATCTGATGCAAATAAAAATTATACATCATACATTTAAAGATATTTTGCACTGAATACCAAAAAATAAAATCTAGAAATCTTTTAATTATAAAGAAAGTAAATCAGGTGCCATGCCAATGGATACAAGCTGAATCTGTGACTCTAAATAATTGTGTACTTCAGAAACTGCACATAGTGAACCAGTGGCAATATGAGATGCTTTATACTCCTATTTTGGAATGAAAATGATAGTTATCATATTGTTAGCTTGTCTTGTTAGCTAGCCATAAATTCATAGCTGCTCAGGTAAAATTCGCTTTAAAAGATATTCACAGGCTAATCTTATTGAAATAGAAACATGCCAGTGTAAAATTAAGCAAATGAACAATCTAGTTTGACGTAGATTTAGAATAAAACTCTATTGATTTTAAGGATGATCATACACTTGTTCCTCTTCTGCAGGAGAAGAGAGGGAGAATTTTTTCTCTAACAAAGAATTTTCATTCTGAAGAAGAGGAACTTTTTATCTGATAATATACAAAATCAACAGTTTTAGTTTAAATCTATACTTAACTAATGTTGCCTTATTTGCACAATTTTAAAAGTTCACAGATATAATAACAGATACAGAAGATGATATATATGAGGAGATAATATATAAGAAGAGATGATTGTATTGATGCTGTGTATTGTATGATTAAAACCAACTTATAGTAATATTTTTACTTTTTTTAATGTGATAAATAAATAATAAAGGAACTTCCAGTGTAATGTACAGCTATTCCACAATTTAGCAATTGAACATATTTCACAACTTATGTAAATTTATTTTGAACCTACTTTTATTCTCTAAATGATATAAGAATTTTACATTTGTAAATAAGAAAACAAATTTGAAAATATTCAAAACGACACATGAAGAATGTTAAATATACTTAAGGGGAGAAATAATTCACAAACCTGAATGGATATGATATGATTAGCATAATACATAATTTATAATTATATAATTTTAATTAGAATGACTAGACATATTAATTGGTGTCACCATCTTATCACAATACCTCCAGAAGCTCATCTCCAATTTTGATACGTCCATCCTTGATTGCCATACCATTGGGATGCATTCCACAGACAAAGACACTCATTTTTGTGCGATCTTTATTGCCAGCTAAGCTAAGGCCTAATTTATTGGACCCCTTGACCATATCAACAAGAATTAGTTCTCCTTTCATGTCACCATACTTCTTTTGTATTTTTTCTGTAAATAAAAGACATTTCTTTGATTGAAATGGTATCATTTTCATTTATGCAAATGCTAAATTTATATTTTCCATTACATAATTAAAGACTTTCAACCCATATTTCATTTACGGCTTTAATCAAATGGTGCAAAGTCAACTTCGATTTGTATATTTTATGTTATAAAATAAAATAAAACATAAAATATACAAATCAAAATTTGCATAAATAACTTCATTCGTTTCAATATATAAAATCAAAGATACAATTCGATGTTTTTCATATGCATCCAAATAAATTTCAGTCAAAGAACAAGTTTCCAAATTTTGCTGTTTTTTTAAATATTATTGTCAGCTTTTATCTTAAAGATACGAAATACATTATTATGATATGGAAGTATTATTTCTATAAAAGGTACATATTTTACATGAATTAACATATCAGAACGATAAAAATTATGAACAAATGTACAGATTATGAATATAGAATTCGATACTTTTGCTTTCATATACATATAAAAATTACTATGATAAAAAGAGAATAATTTACATTCAAAATAATTAATCATATGATTCAAATAATTTAATATTAAAAATATGACCATTATAAATGTGAAATTCCTTCTTTCAAAAGAATTTCTTTCTCTTATAATATCTGTCTGTACTTCTCAATCTTGAACTTTTACAAGTTTTTTTTAGTGATTTCATTGTATGAGAAATAGCCATATTCTTCACAAGCAGCGATAATAAAGTTATTTTCTTTTCTGAAGACACTATAATATTTGAGGCACTTTACAATGTAGTCTGTTTTTCTTCCCCCTCCCTACTTTGACTAATTCTTTAGTTGTTGTTGCTGTCTAGTTTGTGGAAGACCTAATGAATTTTCATAGTTGTGCCAGTTGCTATTTGTCAGTTCTGAATATCAATGGAGACAGTTTCATTGATGGCCAGCTGCTTCGTGATGAATGCTTCGGTTTATTTGATTACAGCAAAGGATGCGAAGGCTATCTGCTTAAAAGTAGAGTAGGCTTTGAGGAAAATTTTCTAAGGGAAACTGTTATCCACGTTTCACTCACGAAAACATCAATGCAGCCAGCCCGTTTGCCTGGAATCAAACCCAGGCTGAATTACTAGAGTTCAACAATTTTACCACTGGGCAGCTGGTGGAGACAATAAGATGGAATCGGACGGCAGACTGATGCAATTTTAGTATCCTAACTCACACTACAGTGACAATACAAACATCCAAATCTTAGTTGGAATTTACAATCCAGTTCACCAAAAAGCTGAGCCTATAATTATTAGAGTTTAAATTCAGCCAGAGCCTGCCTTTCAGTACTTTTCAATTTTTGAGAGAAATTATACTTCAGCCCGAAGTAGTCCGCAAAATTAGCTTGAATATTTTAATTAGTTTTTAAAAATTTAAATGAATTTATTAATATTTATGTTTTTATATTTTATTTACTCTTTCTGGGATGGCTTTGCATAAGGCTCCAGTACTTTAATTTTAGAAATTAAGATCTGATTATATTACTTAATACATTTCAGTCAAGTGTATTAAATGCTAAGAAGGCAATGATTTTGAATAAAGAGTTAAATTTCATGACTGGGTTCTTTTTTAATTTTAATTCATTTAATTAATTTTTAATGAAAACGTCATTAAAATATACCAAAAATTTGATGTGTACACCCCATGACTTCCTTGTACGGAATATTATACGCACTTTTTCCTGCCTTTCATTTAAAGTTATTTCGTCAAATTTCATGAGAGATACATTTCTCATTTAATTAATTCAGTTCTCACTTCGCGACAAGGCAAAAATACATATAAACTCAAAATATCTATATTAAAAATTGAAAGATATAGAAAAACATAAAACACCAAATACAGTTAAAACGATCAAAAAAAAATTCTTTTTTACCATTAAAAAAATTACAATTTCTACACAAAAACAAGCAATGAGATACATTCCGCAAGAGAGGAAGAGGGAAAATGGGGTCACGTGTTTAAGAACAACATCCACATGTGCTATGTTTACAATGAAGTCAATAGCAGATATTCCGCTGAAATTAATTGATTTTTCGAATTTAGAAATTTATGGCTATTGCAAGAAATTAAAAAATATGCTTGGAAATGATTTCTCTTTTCTTGAAGTCAACAAATAGGGTCTTTTATTATTCAAGGAAAAACATGTGAACAATATTTGTTTCAAAGTAATGCCGGATATCACGTGTTTAGGCCAAAATGAAGAAATCAATTATGAAACATCTGTGCAAGTTTCTGCAGAAAACGAGGTAAGATTTATAAATTTTTCTTATGCGTGAGGCTTACCAGCATTAATAAAGTTGAGAAAGTTGAAAAATTCCAAAAATATATCTTTTGCATAAAGTATTTTAAGAAACTTCCTTTTGTCCGAAAAGTTCGTTCCCCCTCCCCCCATCACTCTTAAAACAACCCACGTTGCTTATCGACTTTGACCTTGGCTCAACGAGCGCATTCCCCTCCCCCCTTTTGCACCGAAAGTGTACTCACCCCACCCCCTTCACTTTTTCGGAATCGGATCGTCCATGCCCAACACCTGCTTGAACAAGTTCCGCGACGGAGGAATACGACGCCAAGTTGGCTTTCGCCAAATGTACTGACGTTCTGATGAGACGAGAGATAGAAGAGGTGAGTGCGAGATAGAAAACTGAGAAGAGAACGTGTTATTAGTGCCGTAAAAAAATTTGGAAATACTTGTACAAGTTGATGGACAAGGGAGAGAAACTCTAGAACCCTAGAACTGGAATATTCTTTTCATTTTTTGACAAAGGGTCTTCCGAGTCTTGATTATTATAACTGTGATCCCACCCTCGAAGTCGAGTTTTGCAGTGCTAAGAACCAGCTTGGATTCCTCAATAAATTTCACAAGTTCTTCGAAATTTTCCACACTGGTAATACAGTTATCCACGTAAAAGGATTCCAACAGCTTGGTGGGTGTTTTTTCAAAACGGTGAGGAGCATTTTGTAAATGTAATCGAATGGTTACTTCCAAAAGTTACGGGGAACATGAAAGTCCGAACACAACCTGTCTATGCTAGAAAACTTTAGGTTTGGCAGAATCACCCCCGTCCCACCATAAAAACTTTAGATATGATCGATCACTCACTTAGTCCAATTTGTAGGAAGGCTCTACAAATGTCCGCAACAAAGCCTATTTTCTTTAATCTAAATCGATTCATGATGGCGGAAATGAGCTCAACGGTGCTGAGGGCCCATTTCCAGGCAGTCGCTGATAGAAGGTGAGTTCTTTTCTCTGGCCGATCCATCAAAAACCGTTCTCACCATTGTAGTCAAATTTTCTTTCACTACAGCCCTGTGAGGTAAGAAGTGTTCACTTTCTTCGTTACAGGAATTCTTAACTTCTTCAAAAACGCCTTCTTAAAGCCACTCTAAACACTTCTTCGTATGCTTCGAAGTTTCCATTTCTCTTCAGTGATTCAACGCAACTCTTTAGCCTTCCTTCTGCAACATTTTTATAAGTGGGCAAAAGAGGATGGCCTTGTATCCACGGGAGACTTACAACGTACCTTCCATCGACATCTAATTTTACACTTCTGTTAAAATGTTCTTCAGCTGCCATCTCAAGCTCTTGTCGACTTCCCTTCTATCTAGGGTCCAAAATTCCAAGTGTATCAAGTCGCCATAAGTCTGAAATTTTTGCAACGTTTACATGACGCTATTCGTGCTATCTGACGCTATTCGTGCTATCTGAAGTTTCGATCGTATCAGTCTTGTCCATTAGTGTGCTTCCAAGCCGCGTTTCCATCAAGACTAGACCTGAGTCTAGCTGTTTTATGTTTCCGGTATACAGTTTACCTGCGACATCAGCCCTACGAGTCCATGAATCTCGTCAGGAGAGAATTGATACAACAGATCTACTTTATCATTCAAATCAGACAGGAAAATTTTATATTTCTTAATTTCATTATTAACTTACCACGCGGTATTTTTAGGACTTCGGAACAAATTTTTTCTTGATTTAACACCTCGGAATTACATCGATAATTATCCGAAAAATCACTAAGGCGAATCAAATATCTCTTATGCGTTTCCGTGGTTTCTATACCGCTGAACAAACTATGTGTTAAAATTTCTTCATCAATACATTCATATCCCATTTCCATTATTGCAAAATTTGACAAGTAAGATTTACTGCTGCCTGAGTCAATTAGTACCCTTATGTATTTCGTTTTATTCTTATTCCTATGACGAACAATAAGTGTTTACAGGAGAACTTTATGAGTAGCTGTTTTGTTAGATAGAGCGGAGTCGTTACTTTTGATTGGTTTCTCCTCAACCTGGAGCGATCAGTTCGAATTTTCGGGATTACATTTTTCAGTACACATTAATTTAAATAACCCTTACCGCAAATCTCACACGGTGGTACTTTCCTTTTACAAAATCGAGAAATATGCTTTCTTACTGCTAAACATCTGAAACATGCGCCCCTTCTTAACAACATTTGCTTTTTCTCTTCATAAGGCAAATTATCAGCATACCTACAGTGGCTTTGTTACAAAATGTGTGCTTTGTGTCATATGTGCTTTGTTACAAAATACACAAGTTTCCTTTTTAATATCCGAAGAGTTACATAACTCTGCAGCTGTCGGAATAAATCTTTCCCGTCGTGATGACGCGGGTGAAATAATTTTGCTTTCGGTTTCACAGTTAAATCCGGTCCGTGCTAGACGCACTTTCTCTTCGCTTTCAATCTAGTGACATAAAAATTTCACCAGGTTATCAAACTTATCAACAGTTTCTTCTTTAGATGTTAGGGATATGGAATTTAAATTTCTTTCCCAAACTCTCAGTATGTCGACAGGCAAACAAGATTCAATCAACGGATGCAACATTGAAAAATAATTTGCGCTGGAAACACCTTATATATTTAAAGACCTTAAATAAGTTTCAATCTTATCGTAAAGTTTAAAAAGAGGCATTTTAGGGCCTTTACCGATTGTGTTATTCATCATCAATGAAAGAACGTTTCTAATATACACTTCGATTAACATGCCAGTTCGGCCAAATCTCGCCTTTAAACATTGTATTACGTTTTCATAACTATCAGCTGTGGTCGGAAATGATTCAACAAGTTCTCGCGCTCTTGAACCCTTTAATGTAGCTTGTAATAAATACTGTAATAAATATTTATCCTCCTTCGCGATTTCATTATCGTTGTGTACCTTCTCAAATTGTGCGCAAAATGACAACCATTCTTTGATATCACCGCCGAACAAAAATTCTATTTTAGGAAGCTTAAACTTCCGTTTCGATGAATCATTAACTATTTAAGAATTAAATAGATTTGTATCAGTAACAGTAGAGTTTTGGTTTGACAAGTGAATCCGTTTTTTCGCTCTAAATTTCCACAACAGAATTCTTTCGCGATATTCTTCTGTAGTTTGAATCTCTTCCTCAAATTCTTCTGGTTTCAAAGTACTTTCGATTTCAGAATCAGCTATCTTAATGGATTCAAACTTATCTTTCAAGAGTTCTAAGTCTTCTTCTAACAAGTTTCTATCAACAGAAGACTTATCTAGTTCATATTCTATTTTCTTAAGAATTCTGGTAATGGACGTTCTCAAATCTCCTCTCTTTTTCTTACGTTTATTAGTATCTTCTACTGACATGTTTACTGAATCAAACATATAACATATAAAATCTTAAAGAATTCAATAAGTGCCTTTCAAATTCAAAATACATGAATTCATTAATATCAATCTTCGATTAATTCGCTTTCATCCCGGCAGGGATGCCAAATGAATACTTCGTCAATTCAATAGACACTATTAATCAATGCGTAAAGCATTCTAACAGTAGGTAAGGCAAATAGCACTGACTTGAATCATCGGGTTCTTCATTCAGGTATATCCAAAAAATACGCACAGGTTCAGCTTTTTAAAACTTTAATCTGTACACAAGTTATAAAAGAGAGTTTATTACAAGAGATCAAAAACTACGCATCCGTTTCCTAAGACATTCATTAACAAAACTAAACTAAAAATATAACATTGATTACATCATAAAATTGTTGAGCGCGCGGTAGAAAACTTACGTAATCAGTTCCAATCGTTATGCGCGCATAGGCGGAAGTATCACGTATCCCAATAACTGGATTTCTATTCAAAGAAATTGAATGACGAAATCTTACAGCACCTACGATCGTAAACTCTAGGGAACTTTCTTTTCAGTGAAACATTTCAGGTATATACTAGAAGGTAGAGAATTTGTAATTGTAACTGATCACAAGTTATTGGCCTTCGCCTTTAAAGAAAAAAATAAGAAAGCATCCCCGAGACAACTGCGTCAACTACAATACATTTCGCAGTTCACCACAGATATTCGGCATATTAGTGGACAAGAAAACGTGGTTGCGGACACTATCACGGATCTCTGTTATTGATTATGTAAAATTGCCGTAAAACAAAGTACTGATCCAGAACTGAAAGATCTAATGGAAAGTGACATGACACTTAAATTAGCTAGTCCTACTTCCCTCTTCAAAAGTTTTATGGTGTGATACCTTAACAAAAGAAGATTCGGTCTTATATTCCAGCTAGTTTCAGGAGAAAAATTTTTGATCACATTCATGGATTTCACACCCTGCCATTAAGACTGCTAGTTTCGTGTGGCCTGGAATGAAAAAACAAACAAAAGATTGGGCTCCAAGTATATATCAGA